GCCAGGGTAGCTCAGTGGTTCTAGCACCTGCCTTTCAAGCGCAAAGTCCTGAGTTGGATACCTGGCACTAAAAAAACAAATGAAACAAAAACTGAGGAGGAGCTGGGTGTGGTGGTGCACACCTATAATCTTAGCACTCAGGCAGAGGACTGCCGTGAATTTGAGGCCAGCCTGGGCTATACAGTGAGTTCAAGGCTGGCCTGAACTACTTAGCAAGACCCTGTCTAAATGCACCCCACAAGAAAATACTAAGGCAGAAACTGAAATAAAAATTAAGACAATATTAATACTGAAATAATTAAAATAATAATCAAATAATTAAAATTAATCAAAATTAGCTTATAAAATCAATTCATGATAAATGTATGAAAATATCACAGTACAGCCCACTAATTTGTTTAATATGTGCTAATAACTACAAGAAAAGGGCTTTTTTTATAAAAACAAGACAATGTATTGAAAAGGTTAAAGCTGGATATCTCAGATAATGGACAGCTAATAACTTTAACAAATAAATATTTGGCAAATGAAAGAGTGATCATTTGGGATCAGGACAAGTAAATGAATAAAAGAGAAGCAAAACGATCTAGAAACAGTGCTGAAGCTGGGCATGGTGGTGCGTGCCTGTAATCCTAACATTCAGGAGGCTGAGCCAGGCACCCAGCCTGTGCTACACAGTGAGTTCAAGGCCAGCCTGAATTACAGAGCAAGACCTTGCTTCAAAATAACAAAGCAATTTTAAAAGGGCTGAACAATAAATGACAAAGATTTTAATTTGATAGGTGAGTGGGTGATAGCTAAATGAACATTCTCTGTACTATTTTATTTTTACAACTTTTTGTAAACTTGAAATTATTTCCAAATTCGACGTTTTTAAACATATATTGATGCCACATCTAGACTCGATGTCGAAATCTGGTTAGGACACTGTATGGAGGTTCTGTCTCCACATTTGTAAAACAAGACTACCACACGTATCTTGTAAAGTAATAATGAGTATAAAATGATACAACACATGTAAAAGAAGTTTACTGTCAAATGTTACACAAAAAGCTGGACATAGCATATCCTACTGTCCCATCTACCGAGGAAGCTGAGAGAGAAGGATCTCTGGAGCCAAGTGTTCAGGGCCAGTTTGAGGCTATTTCTTTCTTCTTCTTTTTTTTTTTTTTCCTTTTTTGAGACTCAAATTTTCAGTCTTTGGCCACTGCCTCTCAGAATGCTGAGATTACAAACATGCACCATCATACCAGACTTCACTTTTTTTTTTTCGTACCAGGGATCCAACTCAGGACCTTGTGCTAGCTGCAAGGCAAACAGTGCCACTGCAGACTTCACTTTTTAATAGTACTCTTTGGAGCAAAAAAGTTTAAACTCTAATTTAGTCTAATTTATCTCCCCCCCACTTTCTGGTAGTAAGGATTGAACCCAGGACCTTCAACATGCTAGGCAAGTAAGTCCTCTACCACTGTTTTTTTTTTTTTAAGTTATGCTTTTGGTATCATACCTATTAATTTATTGCCAAATATAATTGTATAATGACTTACTCTGTTATGGTAGTTATCTAAAATTTCTCCCAAAACGCACATTATGTTGGAGCCTTGGTTGCCAGCTTTATGGGCTTTTGGGAGGTGATTGGAGGATAAGGACTTTCTCTACACCTACTGATATGAGCATATGGTTTTGTTTTTTTATTGTACTTATGTGATACATTGCATTGATGGACTTTTTTAAATGTTAAAATTAGACACAAATTTAGCATCCCTAATCTGAAAGCTGGATTTCAGATTTTTGGATTTTGGACACTCAATTGGTAGACTTACAAATATTTTAAAAATCAAATATTTTCAAAATCTGAATTAGATCTGGTCCCAAACGTTTCATTGGCGACTGTATTATGACATTAACATTGATGACTGGTTTTGACACTACAATTTTATAAAGGAGTACAGGGGTTTTGACTTATGGTCTCAGTCCATGGTCAGCTGGTCCCAAGGCAGAAACAGGATGGTGGAAAGGCCTGGCAGAGGAAAAGGTACTTGATTCATGGCAGCCAGGAAGCAGAGAGAGAAGGAAGGAGTTAGGACAAGAACATGCCCTTCCAGGCACATCCTGGTGGCCACCTCCAACCAGGCCCCAGCTCTTAACAGCAAGTCAGCTACAGCACCCCATGATCCAATCACCTTCCAAAAGCCCTATCTCTGAACATAAACCTTTTGGGGACATCTCAGACCTAAACTGTAACAGATATTTGCACTATAATTTCTTTCATTTTTTTCCTTATGACTAGCAAATACTTTAGAACCATGTGACTACTCTTCTTAGTAAACCTAAGTGAGGCTTCAACATCCATTAATAATCCTCATCTCAAATCAAGTATTCCTTAGGCCTTGCAAAATGCTAATTTTTCTAATTCTGCTATTCCTATCAGCTAACATTCCTCCAGCTACAAGAGCTTTTCCTGGTGAGCTAGAGATCCCTAGTTACCATGAAATACAATTTGTTACTGAAAAGGTAGAATAGATGCTTATTTCATTCTCTTTAATCATCAATTTTTACAGTAAGGAATTGATGCAAGTTATTCTCATGGGAACAAACAGGTTTTATTTTATTTAGCTCGCCTTTAATTTTCATTAGGAACTTATGATTTTTTTTTTTTTTTTTTGGTTCTGGGGATCAAACTCAGGTCCTTGTGCTTGCAAGGCAGGCAGCCAAACCACTGAGCTGAATTCCCAGCCCTGTGAACTTCTATCTAATCAGTATGATTCAATCAATTAAAGTGGTTGTTTATTATTAATTCTTTGATGCTCCCATTATCTAACTAAGGTCAAAGGGGGCTTTTCAAGCTATGTCCTAGGCTCTTTTGACACAAGCCCATCTGTGAAAGTTTACCTTAAATATTCTTGACCCAATCTAAAAATCAAGTATTTTAACAATAAACTTGATTTTTTTGAGTAAGAAATGTTACTTAAGAGACCAAAATCTGGGCTGTTACTGAACAGCCTAAGTGAGGGGAGCTGGGCATGGCATAGACAGTCTGGGAAGAGAGGTGTGGTATGATTCCAGAATCTACAGGAACCACCTCTCCAGGCCCTGTATGTGGAATTCTCTTGGATTCCTGCTGTGCTGCTGGTGAAAAGAATAAAAGGACACAGACACCACGAAGAGCCCAGCCCACCCCTGTGTCCTCCAAGTGTACTTTTATTTTTGTTTTTATTTCTCCTCTCTTTTGCTCTTAAATTCGCTCTGCAGAGCCAGTTTATCCCTTACCCTTTACATTGAAATTTCAAATAAATTTTATGACTGTTTTTGCTTGTTTTGTTCAATTCTTTGTTCCACATGAGAAAAACCTGGAAACCAAGAGGTGAGCATTCCCAAAACATAATGACATAAAGACTAGAGAAGCTATTTATTTCTTAAAGTTTTGAAAGGATTCATTTGTGAAACTATATGAATACTGCATATGGAGGAATCACTTTGTTGTGACAATTTTCAAAACTGTTTTCAGTTCTGAGAGTTGAGCACAGGGTCTTAGCCTTGAGCTATATCCCCACAGACACATCACACATTTTTTTTTTTTTTGAGACAGGGTCTCACTAAATTACTAAGTTGCTCAGTCTGAGTTCGAAGTGACCCTCCTGCCTCAACCTTCCAAGGTGCTGAGATCACAAGCATGCACCACCATGCCCCAACACTAAATTTTTTCAATGGTTACTGATCAAATTTTTTTTTTTGAGTAAAAATTATGGAATTTTATACTGTGATAAAGTAATTCATTTTCAAATGTAACATGTAAGTAGAATAAAAAACAAAACCACGTGCTCATCTCAATAAGTGCAGGGAAAGTCTTATGATCTTTCAGCTCCTTTAAATTGTAGTATCAAGTATCATGTCTAGTGCCAGGAAAATGATTAAGACTGTATCCTACTCTCACTGGCTGAAACCAGTCATTCTAAGTGATTCATAATGCTTTTAACCCATTTTTATCTGGATTTAATGGTTATTTCCTCATCTCATTTCTAAGTGTCTATATGTGGATGTGCTCAAATTTTCTTCTGTACTTGGAAATCCAAGTCAATGTAGAAGGAATATATTCTATTTAATCTTTTTGACTTCTTAAGAACATACTGAATTTGTGCTTCAAGTCTGCTGCTTTCTAATTCATTTTATTTTTACCTATCAATAATTACTTCTTTTTATTCTTTTCTTTTTCTTTCTGGTACCTGGGATCGAACTCAAGACCTTGCATTTGTGAGGCAGGCACTAGTGCCACTGAGTGAAATCTCTGCCCCTTCTTTTTATTCTTTTCAGCTTATATATTATTTACTCTTATTAAACTGATTGCCTAGCAAGAAATATTCTGGAGGGCTGGGGACTTAGCACAGTGGTTCCACCACCTGCCTCATAAGCACAAGGACCCAAGTTCAATTCCTGGTACCAAAAAAAAGAAAAAGAAAAAAAAAAGAAAGAAAGAAATTATTCTGAATTCATTTTTTTACTCTGAATTTATTCCCTATTTTATTTTAATTTTTCTGTGGTCTAGAGATTGAAAGCAGTGCCTTCACATACTAAGCAAGCACTGTACTGCTAAGCTATATTCTCAGCCCAGCTCATTCCTTCTCTACAGAAACTACCGTACCTTTAGATTCTCTGGGATGGAAAGTAACTGCTTAAGTATAAAATATTAAAACAAAACTATTTGGAGTTTAAATAGAATTAATTTAACATATATAGATAGCATTTGTTCTTTTTTTTTTGGTGGGGGATATTGGGGATCGAACTTGGGACCTTGCGCTTGGGAAGTAAACAGCAGCACCACTGAGCTAAATTGCTGGCCCTTTTTAATTTTTTTTTGTGGGGGGTACCAGGGATAGAACTCAGGACCTTGAGTTTGAAAGGCAGGCAGTGGCACCACTGAGCTAAATCCCCAGCCCAATAGCATTTATTCTTAATTCCAGCAAGTTTTAAATAGGAATTTAAAAAAATAATAATATTCTTACCTCCTTTGTGGTACTTGCTCTTCCAGGTTCATGATTCATACAAAAGGGGCCAGTTTTCCAGGCCTCTGTATCTCCACAGTCACAAAACCCTCCTCCAGTGGAAGTATGCATCTGCCCAATGAAAAATGAGTTTTATTTAATCTCAAAATACATTACAAAGCAAGCAAGAATATCTGATAAAGATAAATTCAACAGTTTATGTTTATATACCAGGTGTGGTGGTACATACTTGTAAATCCAGCTACTCAGGAAGCCAAGGAGGATCATTAAGTTCCAGGCCAGCCTAGGCAACTTTGCAAGACCCTATCTCAAAACAAAAATTTAATAAAGGGCTGGGAATAAAGATCAGTGGCAGTAGGGCGTGGTGGCATATGACTACAATCCCAGCACTCAGGAGGCTGAGGCAGGAGGACTGCCATGAGTTTGAGGCCAGCCTGGGCTATATAGTGAGTTCAAGGCCAGCCTGAACTACAAAGTGAGACTGTGTCTCAAAAACAAATGAACAAATAAACAAAAACCTCAGTGGCAGAGCAAGGCCTTGAGTTTACTCTCCCTACTGAAAAAAAGAAAAACTTCACCAATATTTTAACCTTAATTGTCTTTGATGTAATAGAAACTAGATGAAACAAAAATCATTTTAGTTACTAAAAAAAAAAAATCCAAAATCCTGAATACATCCTAACAAAATGAACCTACAAAATTAATAAGCTTTTGAAAAATAACTCTAATTTTTAAATAGTTGTTTAAATTTAAATTAATGCAAAACCAATTGAAAAGTATGTAAAAGATGTAACACCCAAAATGCTTGAGTCAATGAGACTTTTTTGGATAAACCCTTTTAAGAAATCAGTATAATGATACTATGTAGTATAAAATACAAAAAGCTGGGAATGTAGCTCAGTGGTGGATCACTTGCCTAACATGTGCATGGTACTGGGTTTAATCCCTCACACCAGAAGGAAAAAGAAAAAAGAAATATATAAATACACTATGTTCATTTACACTGTTGTCCCACAGCAAATAAAATTTACACAAACTATTTTCCTTCAGTCTTCCTAAAAAAAAACCAAAAAACTAAAATACACTCTGACAGAGAATAATGGCAACAAATTGATATTGAATCCCCCCAACATACATTAAGGAAACACAAAACCACATATGACCCATACTTTCAGCATTATTAGGAAACAACAACAAAAATACTATGATCTTCATAAGACTTGTTCCAAGAGTTTCTATTACACAGCACTTCAAGCCTGTGGACATAGACAGCCAGAAAGGGGAGCTTAAAATACTGTGTAAAAGAGCAGAGAAGTGCAGAAGACATGGCAGCAAAGGAAAACAGGAAATAGAATATTTAAAAATCCTACAGAAGGGAGCTGGGTATGGTGGTGCACACCTGTAATCCCAGCACTCAGGACGCTGAGGCAGGAGGATTGCCATACATTCCAGGCCAGCCTGGGCTACAAAGTAAATTTAAGACAACCTGAACTACATAGTATGACCCTGCCTTTAAAAAAAAAAAATCCCACAGAAATGAGATCATCATCTATGAAAGAAAGTACACAAAAGAGGGTAGACTTAATAGAAGAAAGCACTTTTACTCCTGTTCATGAAATAAAAAGGAATAGGAAAATAGCAGACTATATCTATACTTTCTGTGGAAAAGAACAAAGCAAAAATGTAAATAAGAGCCAGAACACTGTAACACAATGTTCCAAAATGAATCATATGAGCCCCAAACAACTATCTGAGGATACGAAAACCTTTCATCGAACCAAACATCCTTAAACAGAACACAAAGGTCAGGGGCATAATGTAGTTGCAGAGTGCATGCGTTGCATGTGGAAAGAGCTGGGTTCTATTTCCAGTACCAAGAAAGAAAGAATTCAAAGGACAAAGGAAGAAAGAGAGCAAAAGTGAGAAAATTAAAAATGATGGATAAAATGAATTCTAAAAATCTAGAAAACGAGACCTGATTCAACTCAGGAAAAAAAAAATAGAGGAGGCGGGCTGAAGATACAGCTCAGTGGTAGAGTACTTGACTAGCATGCAAAAGATCCTGGGCTTAATTCCCAGTACTGGAAAAAGAAGAAAGAAGGAGAGGGGAGGGTGGCGGAGAAAAGGGGATGGGTGAGGGAGAGGAAGGAGGAAGAAGAAAATGAGAACCATAGTAGTGAATTCTAAATTACAGGGTACCTAACATGTAGCTCAAATAAAAAGTTAATAAATAGCACTGAAGCAAAGCGCAAAAAAATCAAGAGAATAAAAAATAAAGTAAAGAAGTAGGGTCAGAGAAATAGTTGATAGGGATTAAGAGAGCTAACAAAAGTACAACTGAAGAAAATCAAAAGAATGGAGCAGAACTAGTACTTAAAACTGTAAACCAAGTAAACTCTCTGGACGTAAAAGCTGCAAATCTATACTTGAAAGGAGCCATAAGTCTATGAGTAACTGAAAAAGATTTTTAAAAATGTACCCAGGGTGATTAATTCCCCAGAAAAAGACTAGACTGTCTGAGACAGAGTCTTCCTATGTAGTTCTGGCCTTGAACTCACAATGTAACTCAGGCTGGCCTCCAACTCACAGATATTCCCCTGCCTCAGCCTCTCGAGTGCTGGGATCACAAGTGTGTGCCATCATGCTCTGCAAAACTATTAGACTTTAAAGTCTTGAAAAAGAAAAAAAAAAGTCTTGAAAAAGAATACAAGAAAATTAGACTAGTATCAGGCTTCTCAGTAACAAGATTTAAAAAATCAAGGCAACAATAGAACCTTGCATTTTGTTTGTCACTGGAGATTGAATCCAGGGATGCTACATCTCAGCCTTTTTATTTTATTTTGAGACAGGGTCTCATTAAGTTGCTAGGGCAATTTGAAATCCTCCTACCTCAGCCTTCTTAATAACTGAGATTACAGGTCTGAGTCACTGTGTCTATCAGAACACAATTTTTAAGGGGTGGTGGGGAGAAAACTAAGGATATTGTTTCCAGCCATGGCCTAAAAATGTCAGAATTTAGGGAACACTGTACACATGTGCCCTTCCTAAGGAGTCTCAAGGATCTGCAAACTTTCTGTAATAAAGGACCAAGTAATAAAATATCTTAGGTTTTGCAGGCTACACAGACTATTCAAAATATTACTTTCCACTCAGAAGTAGCCACAGACAGTATATAAATGGGTGGGTATGGTAAGGTTCCAATAAAACTTTATTCATGGGGGCCAGAGATTTAGCTCAGTGGTTCCGCCACTTGCCTCGCAAAAGCAAGGTCCCGAGGTCAATCCCCGGTACCAAAATAAAAACTTTATTCATGGGTACTGAACTTCTTTTGTGGGAGGCTTAGGGACTGAACCCAGGGCCCAGTGCATACTAAGCTGCAACACCACCCCCTGATAGTTTCCTATAATTTTCATTAATCATGAAATATTCTTCTCATTTTTTTCCTAAAAGTATAAAGACCATTCCTATGTCATACAAAATATCCAGATTGATTCACAGGCTATAGGCGGAAATTTCAGAAAAAGAAGAGATGGTGAACACTGTATATACTTAACTGTAAAACTACAAAAAAAGATGAATATGGATAGAAAAATACAAACATATGACCTGACACCCAGAAAGACTACAACCAAAAGGGGGGAAAAAGAGAAGGGAAAGCAAAAGGACCAAAAGATTAGTATTACATGGGTAAGAGGAAGGATCCAAAGAACACCATTCAAACAAACTAGATAATAAAAGGCTGAGTAAAGGGAAAGGTGGTCTGAGCATTACAGAATTAATACTGAGATAACAAATGGAACAAAAGCAACTAGAAACTAAGATATATAAATGAATTTCTCTTCTTTAATATATACTGATGAATGCTGTAATCCTATAGTTATTAAAAATGTAGCTGTATAAACATAATATTGGAATAGAGGATACCACAGAAGCAAAGTAAAGGAATTCAGAGCATTAAAAATGGGGGAAATTTAACAACTTACAAATTTAAAATGTCAATAAGAAAAATGACAGCAGAAACTAAGTTAAAAAGGCAGAAAAATAGATCTTGTAAACTCAAACAATCACTTTTTTGTTGTTGTTGTTCCAAGTGCAATGTCCTGACTTAGATTCCCAGTACCAAAAAAAAAAAAGAATTGTTATGTACATGCAATTATCATGTACTAAAAACTGATAAAATTTTAAAGTAATAAAATGTATACTTCAATATATCTGGCTTTAAAAACATAAAATTTTGAGGTCCAGGTATGCTATTGAATGCCTATAATACCAGCTACCTGGGAGGCTGAGGCAGGAGGATCACAAATTTGAGGCTAACTCTGGCAATTTCCTGAGAACCTGTCTCAAAATAAATAGATAGATAGACAGACAGACATACAGATAGATAGGGCCTGGGATATTGTTCCATGGGAGATTGATCCTCCTGGGTTTAATCCCCAGTCTGTCTGTCTCTCTGCACTCACACACACAAAATAAAATAAGCATATTAAGATAAAGTATAAACCACATAATATAGCATGAAAAAAAGCAACAGAAAAATGAGTAAGGATAAAAATAATCAATAACCAAGATTCCATCAACATGGATAAGCTAAATGCATGGATGCATGTATAAGCCAAATGCAGTATCTACCTACAATGGAGTATCATTCAGCTTTTAAAAGGAAGTAAATTCTTTTTTTGGGGGGTACCAGGGATCAAATTCTGGACCTTGTGCTCTCGAGGCAGGCACGGCACCGAGCTAAATCCCTGGCCCAAGGAAGGAAATTCTGATATATGCTCTAACACGGATGAACCTTGAAGACATTACATTAAGTCAAATAAGAAAAATCACAAAAAGTCAAATACACAGTCACATAGCTATTCTGCAGGCAGCAGAATGGTGATTGCCAGGAGTTGGAAGAAGGAAGGAATGGGAAGCTATTGCTTAGTGAGTACAGCTTTTCCTTCTTAGAAGGTAAAATGAGTTACAGGGACAGATGGTGATATTGGCAGCACGTGATGAACATATTCAATACTGCTCAACTGTACACTTAACGACAGGGAAGATAGGGCTAGGGATTTAGCCCAGTGGTTCGGCTGCCTGCCTCACAAGTGCAAGGACCCGAGTTTGATCCCAAGTACAAAAAACAAACAAACAAAAACCTAATGACAGAGAAGATAATTTTTTTTTTTTTTTTTTGAGACAGGCTCTTGCCGTGTAGTTCAAGTTGGCCTTGAACTAATTATGGAGCACAGGCTGGCCTGGAACTCCTGGCAATCTTCCTGCCTCCACCTCTCAAATGCTGGGATTACAAGCATGTGCCACCATGCCTGTCTATCAAATGTATTTTAACTTTTTTTTTGTACCAGGGATTGAATTCAGGATCTTGCACTTACTTGCATGGCAGAAACAGGGCCACTGAGCTAAATCCCCAGCCCTTAAATGTATTTTATAACAGTAACAAAAGTTGGAAAATCTTTTACCATTCTAAATGCATATATACTTCAACCCAGAAAATCTAATTATGTAGCTTCAGATATTCTTTAAACTTGTTTATATAAAAACAAAGATAAAAATGTGTTTGTTCAAAGCAATATTGTATTATAAAAAAAAAATCTACTTGTCTAGAAAAAGGAGTTTTATAGCAATTAAATAAGCCAAAACTTGGGCCAGGGATTTAGCTCAGTGGTTCTGCTACCTGCCTTGCAAACTTAAGGCTTAAGTTCGATCCCCTGAAATAAGTCAAAACTTACTACATGTATCAATACAGAATAATCTTCACAATATATTGTTAACTTAAATAAAAGTTGCAAAACAGAAAATACAGTTAATCTCTCTACCCGCCATATACCTAAACAAGCCAGCTAAATATATAAAGATCTGTCAGGCTAAGCCAGCTATGGTGGTGCACAATTGTAATCCCAGCACTTGGGAGGCTGAGGCAGGAGGATAACTGTGATTTCAACATACTGAGATTCTGTCTACAAAAAAACATCTGTCAGGCTAGACCCTATATTTTTAAATCATGGTCACTACTAGGGAGGAAAATACAACAGGACAAAAAAACAATTGTAATGTTTATATTCTTGTGTATTATCTGAATTTTGAAAAAGTAGTTTCTAGGGCTAGGGATTTAGCTCAGAGGTTCCACTGCCTGCCTCACAAGCCCAAGGACCCAAATTTGATCCCTGGTACCAAAACAAACAAACAAACAACAGCAAAAAAAGTAGCCAGGCGTGGTGGTGCATACCTGTAATCCCAGCACTTGGGAGGCTGAGGCAAAAGGATTACTGTGAGTTTGAGGCCAGCCTGGGCTACATAGTGAGTTCCAGGTCAGTCTCAACTACATAGTGAGACCCTATCTCAAAAAACAAACAAAAAAAAGTAGTATTGCCTAAGCTTATTTGTTTGTTTTACAGTGTTGGGGATTAAAACAAGGGCCTTGTGCATGTTAAGCAAGTGTTCTACTACTGAGCTATATACTCAGCCCAATAAATAATTTCTTAAATGCTGTGTGTTTGAAAGCAATATACAGCTGGGCATGATAGCACACCCTATAATCCCAGTCTAGGAAGCTGAGGCAAGAGGTCACAAATTTGAACTCAGCCTCAGCAACTCAGAAACTTAGTGAGACCTATCCCAAAATAAAAGTAAAAATAAAAAGCACTGGAGATGTAGCTCAGTGTGAAAGCCTGGGGTTCAGTACTCAATATTAAGGGGTGGGGGAAGGCAGACAATATATAAATATATTTTCTTATCATGTAGGAGGATTATAATATTTATAAAGGATGATGCTAAACATATGGAACTAATTATTTTTAATTAAATCTCGGCCATCAGTTTTGCCTATGATTTAGCTTCATTGATCCTAACATTTCATTTCAATAAATGTTTACCAAAAGTCTCTGTGTCCTAAGTACCATGACAGACACAGAGGTAAAAATTATATGAGACCTGAACCTGTCCTCAAGAAGTTTATAGTCAGGTGGGGATAAAAGATATACAAATAAGATAAAACCACTGATAAGAAAGAAGATTGTTGTTTTTTTTTAATTTATATACTTTTTGCTGAAGCAGTGTTTAATAAGTACAAATACATGGCATTAGGGTTTAGGACCTAAAACAGGACTGATTGACACTGAAAATAAAATTGTTTTCTGAAGAAAGGCCTCACATCCCAATCAATTCCCAGTAACAATGTTTTGCAGATTAGCAAGGGGTTTTAAATTCCATCATAGTTTTACCATTCTAGTCTTAAGGATTAGATCAGAAATTAGTTCAGCCAGATGTGGTGGCACATGCCTATAACCCCAGCACTCGGAAGGCTGAGGCAGGAGTATTGCTGTGACTTCTAGGCCAGATTGTACTACACAGTGAGTTTAAGAACAGCCTGAACTACATAGCAAGATCCTGTCTCAAAGCAAGCAAACAAACAAATTAGTTCAATTCCCCAGGAGGCAAATTATTTTCCTTGGTTGTATGAAACAATCCTCAAAGAACCATTCCTCAGTCTCCAAACTATGCTTAAGAAATTTTTTCAATATAATATAAAAGGTAATTGGTAAAATGTGCTCATGCACATTAAAACAGTTGTTAGAAAGATTTAACTAGCTTTATAGTTTAAGGTTTTGTTTTTTTTTGGTACCAGGGATCGAATTCAGACCCTTGTGCTTGCGAGGCTGGCAGCAGAACCACTAAGCCAAATCCCAGGCCGTATGGTTTAAGTTTTAGAGGTTAGAGGGGGTCTATTTTCTTCTGCAGGTGTGTTCTAGTTGCCTTAGAAATGTATTCAATTTTCCATGGGCGTGGTGGCTCATGCCTGTAATCCCAGCACTCGGGAGGCTGAGGCAGGAGGATCACTGAGTTCAAGACCAGCCTGGGCTACATAGTGAGTTCCAGGTCAGTCTCAACTATATAGTGAGACCCTGTCTCAAAAAGCAAAAAAACAAAACAAAACAAAAAATAGAAATGCATTGAATCAAAGAGCATCATCATATCACTCTCAAGGCTATAACAGGTCTGATTCTCTGAATCAACTTAGGTGAATTCAGTCACAAGTTCTGTTCTATTTAATTCAGTTATTATTCTGATTTCTGCTTTTTGAAATTAAATCTACTCGTCAAATCAAAGACTGTGGTCCCATTTGCAAGGATAATGAAAAAATAAGCAGCAAAACAAAGGCTCAAAATTTTGCCTCCTTCCTGTTCTCAAAAGTTGTTAGGACTATTGTGCCACTAAAGGTTTCTCTTGGTTTTTGTTCACAAAATGTCTGGGCTTGAATCTCCCCCTGCCATTACTCTCCTTTTCCCCCCTTTCCCTGGAACAATACATACCCCTTCCTATTTCTCTCAATTTCTTCTTCCCCCCTTTTTTTTTTTTTGGAAGGTAGGGTCTTGCTATATAGTATAGGCTGGCCTAAAACTTCCTGTGTAGCCCAGGCTGGCCTCAAAGTCCCAATCTTCCTGCCTCAGCCTCCCAAGAGCTTGGATTACAGGTGTGTTTCACCATACTCAGCATTTCCAATTTTTCTTTAATGTATTCCTTTTTTTTTCTTTTATGGAGTATTTTACTATACAAAAAATATATACAATGTAAAGTATATTGTTATTATTATTATTATTATTTTTTTTTTTTTTGGTACCAGGGATTGAACTCAGGACCTTACTCTTGCGAGGCAGGTGACGGAACCACTAAGCTATATCCCTGGCCCCAAGTATATTATTTTGAGGTAAGGTCTTGCTAAGTTGCCTAGGTGGGATTCAAATTTGTGATCTTCCTGCCTCAGCCTCCCAAAGTGCTAGGACTACAGGCATGTGTCACCATACCTAGCCATGATTTTGATTTATATGGCTAATACTCCTGTGTGTGTGTGTGTGTGTGTGTGTGTGTGTGTGTGTGTGTGTGTGTGTGTGTGTGTCTGTTGTATCATTCTTCTGTGTTTTCGGTCTGTTTGGGTTTTTTGGCAGTATTGGGGATTAAACTCAGAAACCTTGTACTGAGCTTTAGTCTCAGCCCTTTTTTTGTCTTTTTTGAGACAAAGTATTACCAAGTCATGAAGTTACCTAGGCCAGGCTCAAACTTGCGATCCTTTCTCCTCAGCCTCCCCAAGTGCTGGTATTATCGGCGCGTGCTACTATGTACCATATTTTCTTTATACGTTTATCTGTCGATGGGCAACTAGGCTGGTTCCATATCTTGACTACTGTGAACTGTGCTGTGATAAACACTGGTATACAGGTATCTCTATAGTGCAGTATGCAACTTTAATTCATTTGGAGATATAGCAAGGAGTGGTATAGATGGATCATATGGTACAGCAATTCTGTTTATAGTTTTTTGATACCATTATTCTTTAAACTATCTGTATGCTTTATACAAACTTTTGTTTAAAAGTGGTATGTCTCACCAAAAAGTTGTAAAGGGCTACCTCTTGAAGTAGATGTCCTATCACATAATATACTTAATAGAGGTTAAAGGCCCACATACCAGTTCTGTTCAGCAGGAATTTTAAGTACTGGTCAAGATTTTGCACTAGAAGGCCATCAGATTCTTGCTAATCCATAGATTTTTATGGCTCTGGTTTCATACCTTGTAGCGATGATTTTTATGAACACTATTCTGGAAGCAGTCCATACAGAGTACACATGTTGGATCAATTGCACAGTCCCTGGAAAAGATTGACAATTAGATTCCAAAATTTAGACAACTCCTATTGATGCTTAAGGTATGACTATCATGTGAATAAGTTTCCTGTATGGTACCAACTAAATATGAAAATGCTTCAAAAACTGGATTTCAAAATATTGTAAGCAAATACAACACTGCTAGTATCATTTTAGACTTACTGAAAATGTAAGGGTGCACATTTGGTTTTATATCTTAAATCACCCTCATAACTTTGAGCCTGCACTTTGGTGTCGAGCTGTTAAGTTACAACTCAAAATTTTATTTTGTGAAAACTGATCAGTTGTGTTCCATTATCTGCCATCATCTCACCTCATTACACTTACACATTTATTTTATAAACACTGACTAGGCGTTGTTAAATGAAGTTTGGATAAAGACAAAATTCACTGGGAATACAAGAACCATAAAGGAAGGAAGGAATTTTTATTTCATACACTGATGTGTCCCAAGCACCTAGAACAGTGCCTGGAACATACTATACACGCAATATTTACATACACAATATTACATACACAATATTTACGGAATGACTGAAATTCAATTTCTTCCCTAATAACAACTTTTAAAATGTAGTACTTGATACTTTTAGGGAATCACTAAAAATCAATATAAATAAGTACAAAGTGTTAGATTAATTTTTTAAATTTATTATTTAAAAGAGTTGCATAGATGAAATTAGGAAATTTGCAAAATGAATTTTAGGGCTGGGGTGAAGCTCAGGAATGTGTTTGCCTAATGTAAGTGAAGCTGTAGGTTTGATCTCCAGTAATACACACACACATTTTAAAAGGCTAAGAGGATAAAAAGAGCTTTCCTAATAATATTCTTTAAAATACGTATATCTACTGAACCTCTAAAGCAGGCTTTCTCACCATCAGAACACTCACATCATGAGTGGACCAGATAACTGCTGGGCATAGAGGTATCCGTCATCCTCTGCATTGGAGGATGGTCAGCAGTAACCCTGGCCTCTCTGCACTAGATGCCAGTGCCAATCCCTGGTTGTAACAATATCTCCATGAAATTTTGAGAGACACGATTTCTACAAATGTCTACTGTGCTTTAGTTGAAACTGATTGCGCTTTAGCTAAAAATATATAAGATAAATGCAGGGCAAAAAATAGTACACAAAATGCAAATGTTAATTTTTTTCTGTGAAAAGAGCAGGATAAAGATACTATGTTTTAAACAAGTAGTAAACATATATAACCAATCAACTCTAAAATCAGAGGGAAGCAAAGAATAAAGACTGTTTTCATAAAGTCTAAAAATTCATACTCCTAAAGCATACTCTAATAAAGGAGAAAAATAAAAGTGTTGCTAAGCTCTAAAAGTCAAACATTTCAGGCAGCAGTAGGGAGTAAAAAAAAGCTTCTTTGATTTACCATGATGCTTAAGACAACTGCTCCTACATCAAACAGAAAGCCTAAAGATGTTTCTAATTTCCCTACCACTGGCTTCTTCTGTTCAGGTAAATTCTAATTGTTCCCAAAGGTCCACAATCCTTCACTCACATCTGTGAAATTAAAAAAATCCCAAAAGGTTTTATTACTTTGCAGGCTTATACCAAGAGTCAGTTATTTCAAAAAGAAAAAAAAGGAAGAGGAGGAAGAGAAGGAGAAACTGACATGACATGACATGACTACAGACTTTATTCATACCACTTGGTGTGAACATTCAGTTTTGTTACAGAAATCTTGCTATGTTTGATTATAGGATCCTGCCTTGACTCTGGTGGAGGAGTATTCAGAATTCTGAAATTCACTTGGCCCCAGAGGTTCACGATAAGAAGAATATGATGACTACAATACACACAAAGCAAAAATCTATTAACTATATATTTTTGGAGAACAGGAAGGAAAATTTAAAGAACTGTTTAACTAGAAGTCACATATTCAAAAACAATCTGTATGAGCAAAATAGATTGAAAGTATAAAAGGAAGTTAACTAAGTAGGAGTAAATATAGTATAAGTAGTAATAAACACAAAAAATCATGGAATAAGTATGAAATACAAAGTTTATAATTATAACCAATCCTGTACATCTCTAATTCTTACCTACAAGAATATGTTGTCTCTCCACTTTTGAAAACCTTCCCACAGAGTTGAAAAGCTCCACTGTGTTTCAATTTCTCTAAGCAAATAGCTGGATCTTCTCCAAATAAGTACCATTCCAATGGAGTAAATATTGATAACTGCACATTCTCTTCTTGCTTTTCCAAGTCTGGGTCCATTTCAGCAAAATAAATTTCTGGCACCAACTGTGCCAAATGATGCAAGAAAGCAATATAAAAGTCAACTTGCTGATCCCACCACTGAAAGAAAAGATAACAATAGATTGACTCAGAAGTTCCCTCTTTACAATCTAGGGTACAAATAAAGCACAATTGTGTATTTTCAAGATGATTTACAATATATTTTGTCCTTTACCAATACAAAAGACAGATGGGGAATTAAATAAAAATAACCTCAGAAATAAGCAGTTGCCCATATATAATAAATATCTGAAAACAAAAAGCAGTTATCAATAGTGGGGGGGTGCTTCCCTCTGGAATGGCCGCTTTTTTTTTTCCTCCCTAATTATTAGTATATGTTTGCCAATACACAAGAAATAGCCATCTTGCTGTGTTAAAATGAGTCTATTATCAGTCACAGGCTGGACAAAACATTCTCTGTTTCTTAGTGTTAAACCCCTCCCCTGTATTCATGGCCCCGTATGAATTAACCAATCCGCAAATAGCCTCATATGAATTAACCAATCCGCAAATCTGCTTCTGTAAAGCCCGCTTTCCCGCTCTTCAAATTATATATAAGCAAGATCATCCTTGGCGGGGCGCTTCTCTTGTCTTCGGACATTAGAGACGCCCGTGGCCCACGCAATAAAACCTCTGCATCTTGCATCCGTACGGTCTCGGCTGGTCATTGGGGGAAGGTGCGTCGAGTCGGACCTTACATTAGTTTAACTATTTTAGGGAACCGTGCTGCTTAGTAACACATCAAATAGGATGTAAGTCAGAGTTCTGTGAACACAAAAAGCACTTACCATTAAAAACAAAAAAACAAACAAAAATGAGTGTAGGACACATTTATAATCCCAGCACTCAGAAGGCTGAGGCAGAGGTTGGAGCTCAAGGCCAGCCTGAACTACATAGCAAGCCCCTGTCCCCACCCCCACCAACCAAAAAAAAAAAGAGAAACTGAACCTCATCAAATGTAAAATCTTCTGCTTTTCAAAAGAAACAAAGATGGCTTATTTGCACAAGAAAACATTCTGTTCAATATCATCAGTCACTAGGGGAATGAAAATTAAAATGACAATGAGATATTTCTATGTAGTCTATTAGAGTGGCTAAAATTAAAATCTGACATATCAAATACCAATAATGATTCAGAAAAATTAAGGAAGGAAAGAACAGATAGGGTCTCGGAAAGGGAACAGGCACTTTATGTAAGACTTGAATAGGCTAAAGTGACTCCATGCTAATAGGCCAGACTGTGCTTCTTCATATGCTAATTACTATCTTGGTTAACAGCCCACCCAGGGGCAAATGGTTTGACAAAAGGTGACCCTAGAACATTTCCTGCATAAGATAAGTAATGTGTTTACAGTCTTGTTCTGTGAATTCCCTCACTCTTTGTTTAATAAAACCTTATAAAAAATACCTCAGCCCCTGAGCAGTTGCTTCTCTGAGCCACCTGGCTCCGGGAGTGCCATCTGGCCAGACTAATAAAGGTCTCTTTACCATCTAGCCTGATATGTTCCTTCCTGGGTTTCTCAGTTCTCTGTCGTGTTCCCGGAGCCTCGCTGGGTGTTAGGGCCCAGCATCGTGGAGGCCTTTTTGGCTGTCCACGCTCAGTGGAGTGGAAGTGAGACTTTAGGTCTTACATATTGGAGGCCCCAGAGAGATACCCAGGCAGGAACTATAAATCCGGCCGAGAGTCTCTGTTGCGGGATCCAGCAGGAGATTCTCAGACACAGACCTTTGAAAGCCTCCGGAGGTAAGCTTTGTGCTGGCGGTTACAACTGTCTTGTTTATCAGGACCGAGGTGGCTGACGAGCCGGGAAACCTCCCCTGACCCCGGCCCTGACGAGGACTCCGGGTAGTAGAATCAAAGCTTTTCTTTTTGTGTGACACCTGTCTGTCTTGTCAATGTCTCATCTGTTGAGTATTAAACTAAATTTGTTCCTAGGGACAAGATGGGAGCATCCAGCTCCAAGAACACCACCCCACTGGATTGCTTTCTAACTAATTTTAAAATTGTTTTTTTCCCTGAGCAGAAGGATGATTACGGGGTTAAATTCTCTCATGGAAAGCTTCGCTCCCTGTGTCAATCCGAGTCCCACCTGAGCAAGCGACTGTCTGCCTCCTTGGAAGGGAAAAGGTGCGCCCCCAGGATTTCCTGGGTTCCCTTTCTAAGACGCAGAGGCCGGCTCGTCAATAGTGGAACAGAAAGAAAAAAACTAAATAAAATCATCTGTCCGAATGGTGAGATCCCCTGGGTTGCTCCCTAGTTTGTCTTTGGAAGGGGACCCAGGGAGGGAATGTATTAACTTCTTAGGTGGCTGTGTGTGTGAAAGAGAATCGGTTAGGAGAGTGAATGGGAAGAGCTGGGTAGCCTCCTTTATACATCAAAAGAAAGGGAGGAGGGCTTATGCTTAAAGAGCCCTCCAGGCAAATAAACAAGGTCGTTTTCTGAAACAGAACCCCGGCACCCCACCCTTTGTCTTGCATTGCATCACCGGACAAGGGAATATCTAATAGTTATGGGAAATGCTAATACTAAACCAACTGTTCTCAAGTGCATAATTAAAATTTTGATACAGATTTTATGGGAGACTATAAGATAAAACTGCAACCAACGATGCTTAAAAACTTTATGAATTATCATGGTCTCAGCTAAGCCAGACTTGATGGGGGGGGGACTCTAGACAAAAAAAAAAGTTATCTGCCTTTGTTTTACTTACCTGAGACTTTGATAATGTGGAGCCTCTTGTGCTCTAGGAGCTACTGAAACTTCTGCTCTGTAATAATCAGCTGCTAATAAAAACTATTTAGTTTTGTTTATAAAACACCTGCTTGCTAAATCTACCATTTTCCTGTGGTAAACTTGTCTCTCAGAAAATGTAACATCGTTTCAGGCAAATCCCAGTGTTTCCCCTTTGGGAGGAGGTCGAGCTGTCTCCCCTCTACTTGAGTTGCTAAGATAAAAAATATGAAGGAGATAAGGATAAAACAAAGTTGTTTAACCTTACTACACTGGAAGATACAAATGGGAAAACATGATGGGACTCAGAAAAAAGATAAAACAGGGCTTACACTCAGATTAAAAAAAATAAAATGAAAAAATCTCTAATGGATTAAAATCAGATAGGAAAATTCTAAAAGACAAAAATAAGAAAAAAAAAAAAAAAAAAAAAAAAAC